GACCAATGAGACCTAATAAGTCTGCTGGAGTTTGCTAGGGAGCTTCTTCCTTCTGATAAAGGACAGATGTAGCCAGGAGTACTTTTCTCCCTTTTCTCTCAAATGCCAGCACGAGAGCTAGGGCCAACTACCCTTTGATCTCCATAGAAGAAACAAAAAAAATTCTTTAGAAAGGCCTCTGTTACTAAACTGTTGAATCAATGAAGCAATTACAGACCTCCAGACTTTGTAATATGAAAAACATAAAAATCTATTTAAGTCAAGATAGTTAGGATTTCTATTATTCATAGTTAATGTAATCCTGACATAGGGATTTTAAGAAAATGAAATATGTGTATTTATGCCAACACAAGATTTTATATAAGAAAAGCAATAAGAAGTTACCATACATGAATTAAAATAATGTAAATATAGAAGACAAATAAATCCGAGGCCTTGTCTTCAAGAGATAGCAATATACATAGGAAAACATTCATAAATTAATACAGTGCTGGATTACATAAGGGCTGTGGAGATTTAGAATGAAAGCACACACACAGATGTACAGGATTTAAATCAGAAGAGTAAAGGTATTCAAGGGTAACCCAGTAACAAGACTAAAGCTACTAGATGTTACATCAAAGAAAAGTAGGAATGAGGGAGTTGTGTGTATAAAAAGAACAAGTATTGTTATAGTTGCTAGAAAAAGGTGAAAAAAATGAAATAGGTTATAAAAGAGGCAGGGAACATGGATGGCTTTGAAGGAACACCAGAGGACTTCGGGTTTATTTATAAAGGTAAATTTATTCCGGTAATGTGGAATCAGTATGGGTATTTACTGAACATCATATGTGGGAATAGTTTTTGAATAATTTTATCTTTGCATAAACTAAAGATCATTGATGGTCCAGCTTGAGCTTCTAGCAGTTGGCCTAGAATGATGTGAATGTGGTGAAACTAAAGGTGGTAATTAATGTGGTGAAAGACTCTGTAGGACTTGGGGTTACTGAAAATGAAAGATGAAGAAGAGTCAAAATTGCACCCAATTACCAGTCCAAGAAAAAACAGTTTCTTTCTAAACAGCCTAAATGACTTAGACAAAAATGAAAAATGAAGACTAGCCTCCAGGAATCTACTAGTGACTGACTGCTACCATAAAACATGGGCACTAGCTTTAAATAAATAATACTTTCCCTTTGTTTCTAGTAAACACCTGAGTGTTATAACTTAACAGCTGGAGGCCTGTTATCCTTCCTTTAGTGAGGCTACCCTGTTTAATTTGTCTCTATAACCATTTAACATGTGATTCTTATAACAGCTGAAAAACAAAACAGCTGGCTGAACTTTATGCTTTGGTCTTTTGGATACTTTGCTTCTTGGTAACTAATCAGAATTTTGATAGTTGTAGTAATAACAGGAAATGATCTATTAAAATCTGGATCTCCAGCTATAGACAAATGCCAGGGTAAAGGGGAGAGCTAGTTTCAGCATAAAGTCTACACAGGGGTCACTTTTCGGACCACATGGAAACTGTTCTCAATATCAGAAAAGCAAGTGCATAGTGGAAGAACACTCTATGGCGATCCATGAAATACATCTATGGAGAGTTACAGCCACGAAATTAGTAAGTAAAAAGACAAAGATGATAAATTAAACTAGAGTTTCAATCATACAAGGAGTGAAAAATCAATTCCAGAAATAAAAATTCACTCAGAAAAAGTCTTGATGAACAGGTACAACACTTCTACATTGGGCCAATTACAATTTTGCTTATGTTTGCTAAATAGCAAGCCAGTTCTATTTGCCAGAGAAGACAAGAGAAAACAAAGAATGGTGGTGGAGTCACCCACCACCAATTAATGAAAGCAGGGTATTTATTTTCACATAAAGTTGAAACAAAATAGATTGCCTTACAGTACCAAAAAATAATTATAACTTTTCATATAAAATTGCCATGGGTTGTAGACATTTTCTTAGATTTATTTATAGTGGGAATTTTTCTAATTCATTAGCCTTAAGATTTGTCCTGTTTAATAGAGTACGTCATTATCATAGATAATTAATGAAAGCGTCCCTGAGGTTTTCTTCATCCTCTTTCTCTCTCCAGGGCTTTCTGGATACCAGTGCAAGGAAACAGACCCAACTAAATGGCAGACCAAGTAACACGGAGAGCTTCTTTGTAGAAGGCTGGTAAATGGCCTTAAACAGCAAAGTTTCCAAACACCACACTCTAGGGAGTTGGAGTATTAGCGGGAAAAGCCAGAACAATGTGGGCAAAGGAAGATAATCTTGGTTCAAAAGCTCTACAAAGCAAAAATGTCCACAGACAACCACAACTTCAAAGCATTATTTTCCCAAATGCTTTAACGTAACCCATTTTGCAAATTTTGTCATTTTAAAAAGGTAATTAATGAAATAAACTAATAACCTAGAATTCAATTAAAGATGACACATAAGCCAACATTTTATTAAGAATTTTAGAGCAGCAGCAATTTTCTAAAGCACTAGAAACATCAAATATTTGATTCATAAAATTTTATTCTCATGAAAAGTCAAACTAGCTTATTAATCTGTAAAATTAACAGTTATAAAGGATAAAAGAACAGAAGGCATGGTATCCAAAATGACTTTTCAGGATTTGTCTGTGTTTTAATCACTGCAAACTTTCAAATGAGAGTTATGTACAAAACATGACTGGATTCCAAACACACAAATCATCTGTTTCAAATTGTTACTCTCATAAAAACAAAGATAGTCTGGATTCAGAATAGGCTTGAAAAGTGATTAACTAGCTGATGTTACAAATAGTCATTTCCAAAATCCCACCTCCTCAACAATGTCTTCGTTAGCTTCATCCACATCTTCCTTTATTCTCCCATAAATCAATTAGAGATCTTAACATTCTAATTTCTTACTTGATTTGTTAAAGATCTTTTATTTCCTCAAGTAAACTGTAAGCAATTAGAAAGATCCACATCAGATTTATCTTGGTTTCCTTACTACATCTAATTCAATACCCATTATCTATTAGTCTTTTTAAAATTGTGTATTTATGAGTTTCAATGAACGGCGGTATTTTAAAATTGCAATTTTATAGAGTTCCATGTGACAGTATTTCCCCAAGTATTAAATAGATATTGAAAGTGTCTTAAACTTAATTACATGTGAAATCAAAAAGTTAAATCTTGTAACTGCCCAAAAATGTATACTTGATTACCAACATATCAATGAATTACTGTCATCTTACTGTTAAAATGGTTTCAAACTTAATGTTTTATTCTTGGGTTCTATACAGTATGAAATGTAACTACTGCAAATCCAGCATTTTGGGGTAATTCCTATGTGGAACAGATAGAATAAGCTTTTTTTTTTTAGTATATGTGCTGCGGAAGCAATCATGAGAATAAGCTATTTTTAAATAAGCTTTGTTGAGGTAAAACTGACATGCAATACACTACACATATTTAATGTGTTTAATTTGGTAAGTTGTGGCTTATGTGTATATCCACAAACAGGATAATGAATATTCCCACCTCCTCCCCAAATAATCCATCCAGACTTTTTGGTGGCCCTATAGATCACTTATCATGTTCAATATTTCAGAGACAATGATATGAAAATGTGAGACTCACAGGAAAAAGAACAGATTTTGCTGGGTGAAAATTGAAACCTTTTTTATAGTATCCATGTAAATTAGTACTCTGCCACAATAAAGCAAACACATGAATTTTAAAATCTTTACTAGTTAAGACTTCAGTCTACCCAGCAATGCAAGAATCAGAGGAATCTTTCCCAAACAGGAGGCAATATGGGGCAGTTTGGTGGCCAAATAATCATCCTCCCCCAGGGTAATAGAGATGGGGGAGTGAGACGGGGGTAGGTACACTCAAATCTACTCATCTTAAATCATAGAAAGAAAACACATATAAGCACCTTTAAGATGTAATGACTTCATATATTTTAAGTATTTTCACAAGATGTATTATTCCTCAAGGAAAGCTTCAGTGTTAGACATGAAATTGAAGCTAGTTCTTCCTTAGCAGCAATAGATTTCAGATAAATAGCAGATTATACTAGCAATCTCTGACGCAGTATCAGGATATAAGGTTAAAAGTATTTCATGGAAGTAACTAAGATACGACGATCTATACTGCTCAAATGACAATGACTATCATCAGATACCTAATGCTAACATTATGTGAGCGCTGTTCTTTAATAAAAGAGCTGATATTAAAACAGTAAGCTTCCTCTGGATAGAAAAAAAAAAAGAGTAATTTTGGCCTATTAAAAATACTGATTAAAACATAGTTTTGCCCCCAAACATGTCATAAGTTATTACTCTAATGTACAATCACTATTAGCAATCACCACCTAGGGCGTCCCTGGTGGCCGCAGGCAGTTGAGCACAGTGCTGGGAAGCTGTATGCAGCCTCTGCAGTGCAGGTTCAATCCTGGCCGGCTGCAAAGATACCCCCACATGGCACAGCAGACCTCTCTTGTCTTCGCCTGCTGCTCCCCCAGCAGTGTATTTCAGTTGGTCTGCCTGTTCTGTTCCCCACTCTGTCTCTGGTGAGTCCTCTCACACTCCCACACATCTGGCCTGTACCCTGATTCTTATATAAAAATAAATCTTTAAAAAAAAAAAAAAACCACCACCTGGTTAATAAAATATGGTGTATACCTTAAAGTTTTCAGTTCAATTGATTTTCTTATGATGAAAAATTTAATGGTTGGTTTCAAATCTATTTTAGTAATGCAACATAGTTGAGTTTTATTATGTGATAAAGAAAATAAAGATAGTAACTAGACCCAAAATTTATTTATCAAAGTTACAATAAAATACTTTGAAAAGCATACAAAATTGCAAAATAACTGATGTTTTTCCAATAAGGATATCATATATCATATAAGATATGCTGACAAGATAAAATAAAGATCTTTAATGACTTTTGATCAGTTTTAAGGTCACCTTATTGAACGGTACATCATGAAATCAATAGTTGTACATCTAGGAAATTTACCAATGGAGCTTTCTTCCACAGGTGTGTATATTTTAATCTGCCTCATGTGGGTGTCTCTCCCATTCTGGTGATTAGCCAGAACAGCAATCTGTATCATGAACGTGCGCGTTGGCTTCTTATGATTATCGGTTAAGGGAACGTGAATCCAGCCACTTGGTTCCACCAATTCAAGTTGCTGCCAAGAAAAGAAAAGTCAGATTATGTTTCACTCAATGAATGTAATCCATAATAGCAAAAGTACTCGGAAGGTGGCTTTAAAATAACATTTTGCTCACTGAGAAATAGGATTAATAGCCACTACCAGTTACTGAGTACTTTATTATGGTCCATTATACAACTGTTAAACACTTTACATGTACCCTCTTAGTACACAAAACAGATATATGTAGTCTTAGTGTTTACAGAAACTTGTGTAATATACAACCTTAGAATTAGATGTGTCTAAATAGCCGTGGAAAATCATCATAATACATATAGGAAAAGAATTTAGCATTCTATTTCTGGTCTATTTTATTTCAAGGACCACATTTAAAACATCCAAATTCATATAATAATAAACCAGATTCTACATAAATTATAAGAATAGTAATACAATAAAATCAGTCATTATGCTTTTGATGCTTATTAAAAGTTCTTTGCCTTGGCAAATAGTATGTATGATGATCTAAACCTAAAATCTGTATTTTTAATGTTTTTCATAAGAAATGACAGATAAATTTTTACGTTTTAATTTTATTTTAATCAAGAGTCCAAACTGTCCTTTCTTACCAATGAAAGGAAAATTTTAAGTCAAAAGGGAGACCTAGGTTTCTAAAAATTTTCCCAAAGTTACAGATTTTAAAAGAATATTGATTCTTTATTAAGAGAATAATCTTAATTATTATAAAGATATATTAATTTCTTATATAATTAAGATAATTATCAAAAGAACTACTGGTTCATCTTATCAACATAGGCAAAAGGCAATGGTGAGGAAAAAAACCAAAATCTGAACTCCATGAGGCATGTCTAGAAAGCAACTCAGTGAACATCACTATATCTTTTTCCTTCTCTCCCTCCTTCTTTACTTCCTTTTTTTCTTCTTCCTTTTATCTCAATCTTTCTCACTGTTTCTTCTTCTTTCCTTCCTTATTTCATTTTTTTATAGAGAAGTAGAAATAGATTAAGAGAAAGAAAACCAAATCTTTTAAAAGGTAGTTATTTTTACGACAATATGATTTCCTCCTTTTAACTACAAATATAAAAATAAATGAATCTCTAACTCCTCGTGATATTTTATTTTTAGAGACTTTTTATAAACTTCCATTAGCACTAATTTAAAATGAGTGAGTCAGATACCAGATATATCTGGTTTCTATAAAATAACCTTCTATTCATTCAGGCAACAAATAGTTATTAAGTACTTAAAATGTTCAAGGTATTGTTCTAAGTATAGTTGAACATACAGAGCATAATCTAGGCTTGTTCCTTATTTAAAAAAAAAAAAAAACTTAAATGGCAGAGAAACAACCTCTGGCTTCATTGTTTCTTCAAGTAGGAAAAAAAACAAGTGACTGTGACCACCACAGGCTTGTACTACGCAGGTTCACTTAGAGCAGATTTTCTTGTAAACAGACAAAATAACTTATGGTATAGAAGGTAAAGTATTGTAAATGTATTTTCTCTTCCTTTGTTTTTCTTAGTAACACTTTCTTTTTTCTAGCTTATTTTATTATAATACAGTATATAATACATATAAAACACAAAATATGTGTTAATCAACTGTTTGTTATTGGTAAGGTTTCTCATAAACAGCACACGAATCATTAACTTTTAGGGGAGTCAGTGCTATACATGAATTTTCAACTGGGTGGACGGGGGAATTTGCACTCCTATCCCCCCATCACTCAATGTTCCTTCCAGCTCTGACACTAAATGATTCCAAATAAAAGACGGGGTAGGCAAAATAATGGGCCCCTGGAAGATGTCCATGTCTTCCCCTAGAACCTATGAATATGTGAACTTGCAAGGCAAAAGGAACTTTGCAGATGTGATCAAATTAAAGATCCTGAAATGGGAAGATTATCCTAAATTATGAGAGTGGGCCCAATGTAAAGTCAAAGGTCCTGATAAGAGGAAGGCAGGAGAGACAGAGGAGGAGATATGATGACAGGATCAAAGGTTTGAATTACATGATCACAAGGCAAGGAAAGAGGGCAGCCTCTCTATGCAAGAACTCCCCTCCAGAATTTCCAGAAAAGAATGCAGCTTGCTGACACAGTGATTTAAATCTATAAGGTCTATTTTGGATTTCTGATGTCCAGAACTGTAGGACAAAAATGTGTGTGGTTTTAAGCCACCAAGTGTGTGGTATTATTTAGAGCAGAAACAGGAAATTATTATAATAAATATACATGGAGTTCAGAGATTTGGAAAAGCACTTCTGGTTGGAATGTCCATTTTGCAAGTAAATGTACAAAAATGAATGTCAATAATGAACAAAATGTAAAAGTAAAATTCTAAATTCAACATCTTACTAGTAGAATGTTTTAGATAAATTTAACCATTGTTTCTGACAGACTCGATCTTAATTGCATAGTATTTTTTAAATGCTGTAGTGTATTGGAAGCCAGTTAAGATTGTATTGGCTATGTCTGGATCACAGGGCAATGCACATTAACTGAGAAGTCAAAAATGGAGTATCAGGCACTTTCTGTTTTTTTTACAGAGGAAAGTGGTCTCTGCTGGCAAGGAAAAAAAGATGGAGAAACCTTATGTAGGCAAGAAGCAATATCTGCTGTTAGATTACTATTAACATCTTGCCATAGTTACTTTTTCCCTTCTTCCAGTCTAAGCTCTGATTAGAAGCAGAGTCATTTTATAAAGGTGCAAACTTGAAAATTTTTTCATGAGTATGTCATTACACAAAGACTAATTCATGCTCTTTAACATGGTTTCTGGGCCCTGCATGGTCTCATCTCTGCTTACTTCTTCAGCCTTAACTGGAATGGTCCTTCACCTATATTTTAGCCATATAATCTGCAATAGCACAAAAAATCAATCTGCACTGTGCAAGAAATATCTGAAACTCTGAAATAACCCAAAGACGATGAGATGACAAATACTAATTGTATGCCACTTAATATGGGGCAAATGCCTTCAATATACTCTAGTTCCGTGGTTATTTTTATATTTGTAAACATGAATTTTGGGTCTGAGACCTTGAGTTCCTTAACTCTAATTTTTCTTTATAAGCCTCAAGTTCAGAAACTACCCCACTCTCTTACCAGGATTTTGCTTGTGTTTTTATAAGTTATCAGAATCTGAACACTCACAGTTAATGATGCGAATAACGCTACTCAGTTACCTTGCTTCCACTTTCCAATGCCCATAGCCTGAACCCTAAATGCTAATTTCAGATTCCAGTTAGGTTTATGCCTTTTCTCGACTCTCTCTTACCACTAGAAAACACACAAGTATAGAAACACATATAAAGTGTTTTGCCCTCAAACTTTCCAAACAATGATGTGTCAAAACATTACAGCTCTAATCCAGTAGTAAGAAGTGTTGATTCATTCAACAAAGTAATTCCTTACATTGTCCTGGGAACTGGAAACTGACAAGTGCAATGAGAGAAAATCATCGATTTGTTGGAAATTAATACACTTTCTGTTCAGCAAATATATCTAATCACTCATTAATCCTTAAGCAACACCACTTTGATTAATTTACAAATGTTTTGAAAAACAGTTTCGGAAACAGTGGACTCCAAAACTCAACTAAAATAACAACTGAGAAATGCGAAGACTGTATAAATCCATGACGCCGAAAGGAAAAGGCAACCAGAAACAAGTGCATTCACTCTGGTATCTTTAAAACTGGAAGTGCCACGTAGTTCTGAGTGTAAGGGTGACAAGAGCTAGCCAACGGCAGACCTTTCCCATAAAACTTTTCATAAGCCAAACTGGGGTAAAGCAAAGAAACAATTACATTTATTTATACGGAAAAAAATTTTTTGAGAATTCCCAGATCCAAAAACTAACCTACCAAACCATGCCAAATAACACATAAAACCTAAAATGACACTAACATATAGTACAAACAGAAATATGATAAATTCACAGCCTGAATGAAGCAACTGCCAGGGAAGGAGCTTGGGGTGCTGCTGCCTCTAAAATGGTTGCTATAAAAAAAACACTGAACACTACCATTTTTTCATCTTTTGTTATAAAAATGAAAATCCTCTTCGGATTTAATTAGCAAAAACAGATATGAAAATAGTCTTTTCATAAAAGCAAAGTGGTACATGAACTTTTGAAAAGCAGGGGGCGGGGGCAATATGCCGTGTGTGTCTGAGAGCAAAGCTTCAAAACATTTTAAGTTAAATGACTGGCTTGGAAAATAAGAAACAAAAAGAGGTACAAAATGAGAAAATCAGTGGTGCAGTGAGGAAAATCACTGCTAAGGAATGTGAATTTTGAAAGAGAGAACAGAGAACACAGAAAGGAAAAATATGAAAAAGCATAAGCGAAACCCTCGGAACTAAAGGGAAGGTTCCCCCCATGGATGGAAATTACTGAGCACCGCACAATCAGGGAAGCTTGTGTGCATGTGTGTGTGTGTGTGCACGCATGTGCGCACACACATACATACACACACACACAGAGCATGGCCTAGTATGTAAGCATCAGTAATCAACAGTTACACTGCATTTCTCAACATTTACACTGAAAATTGTGAGGCAATGGAGAAAGTGCTTAAAATTCTGATGGAAACTTCTTTCCAAACTAAAATTCCATACCCAGCCAAATCATCCCTCGAGGGTGATATTAAAATAAAGTTTTCAGTCATGTCAGGTTTCAATAATTTTACCTCCCATGTGGAAGATGCATTCCACCAAGAAAGGAAGTAATCCAAGAAAGATGAAGATCAGGGATCGAGGAGACGAGGGATCTATCAAAAGAGAAGGTGAAAGGGAATTCCCAGGATGATGTTAAAGGGACATCCTAAGAAAACAGCTATTAGTCTGGATCTTCCCAACAGGCACCAGGACGGACATACAAAAAATTCATTAAAGGAAACATCTGTGCAGGGAGTGTGGAAGAGCTGTCAGACAGCAATGCAGGTCTGACCCCAGGGGAAGGAGACCGGGAAGGAGGAGAGGTTGGGTGGACATGTGTCAGACTAGGGCGAGGT